AAAATCTTTGCATTTATTAATTTCTCTCAACTCCCAAGTCTTACCTTCATAATAACACTTTAATGCATTAAGAACAAGTATAAAAAAAATTCTTTGAAATCCAATACATATGAATTCTTCGAAAAATCCTAACACATATGATTATTATCCTTCATAATAACACTTTAATACATTAAGAACAAGTATAAAAAAAATTTCTTGAAAAGTCCAACACATATGATTATTATCAAAATATTAAACTTTAATATAATATAATAATAAAAAAAGACATTTAATTTTTTAAAAAGTCTAACACATATAATTATTATCAAAATATTAAATTTTAATATAATATAAAAAAAAATATTTAAAAAAAATTAAAAATTATAATTTATATATATAAATAATTATAAATATAATCCGTACATAGCAGAAGTAATACGTTACTCCATATAAATTGAAATTGGACATATCAATTTATATCTAAATGATAAGATGGGACACAAAATGAAAAAACAGACTACATAACAAAACAAAAACAAAAACAGAAAATACAAGGGTTGTTTGATTTGAATATCCTGTGTTCATACCTGGGGTATGGTGTGTGGACTTGTCAGGCTTTTCAGACATGACAACACACTAAATTTTGGAGAAATAATAGGACCACCATGTGGCCTTGCCCTCGCTTCACTTAAGGGGTGCCACGTAATGATGATACAATTATTTGTTAAAATTACTATTTGTTGAATTGTATAAATATGTAAAATTATGTTTTAATTTTGTTAATTAAAAGTTCATAAATTTAGTAAACAACAATGCTACGGATCCTTAATACAGACGACTCCAGTGCCACTACAGTGACGTGGCAATGTGTGATTGGTTGAAATTTAAAAAAAAAAAAATTATTTTTGCACCAATCAAGGACGATTCTCAGCACCCCCAGCTGGGGTCTAAGTCATTTTTCTTTAGTAAATATATAGGCGTTTTTATTGATGTGTTAAAGTATAGGCTCCGATTGGTAAGGAGGTTTCCAGTTATTTTAATTATAAAAGACAAAATAGGTTATTTTAGTCATAATAGACAAAACATCACATCTAACTCATAATCATTGCACTCTTCTCATACAAAAAAAAATCAAAAAAATCAGAAAGTCCTTCTCAAATCAAGTTTTTTAGCTCAAGTTAAAAGAGTTAAAAAAGTCAAAAAATCAAAAAACTAATCCACTTCTCAAACGAAAGCTATGCGTGAAGTTACTCAAGTATATTAAATATAAAAGATAATATGTATATATATATATATATATAAAAGTTTGTCACTTGTCGCTATTAATTCTCTCTTGTTAGTCTCCTCTGAACACAATTTTTAGCTAATTTAGTAGCTGATAATTTTAATACAAAATTTAACAGCTTCATTGGAGTAATTTTTTCCCTATCAATCGCTAAATTGACATCCCTCTTCTAACATATAATGCTAACCCCATTCTAAGACATCCATTGGTAATATTCTTAAATTACTTGTTCAATAATAAAAGTGTTTTGTGTCTGAAAAAAAAAAATAGAATTTAAATGTATGATATTAGTTTAAATTTGGTGTGGGTCACACTCAAAATATTTCAAAATTTAAAAAAATTTCAAGATATTTTTTTAGATACATAGAATTATTGATTTTAAAAATTAAAAATACTGTTCAAACACATAAATCTCACTCCAAAAAAATGGAACCTAAAAACATAATTTTTGATAAGTTAAAGTAATGGGGTTCACAATTTTAGGGATTGTTTGGAGTGTTCTAAATAAGTATATTTTTGTCTTTTTAGACTAAAAAGTTGAGAAAAAAAATATAGATGTTTGGGTTAACTTTTTGACTTTTTATGAAAAAATGTATACTAAAAAATTGTATAAAGAAGTGTGTAGAAGAAGATTAGAAATGTGTGTTGGCAGCCGTACAATCTGAGGGGTTGAATTGATGGTAAAAAATTATTGGCTACTTTTGGCATTACACTGAACGGTTTTGTTCGGCTCATGGGGGCCATCACAGGTCCCATTTTGATAATCTGAACCGTTCAATGTGTAGAACTCGTCGAGTACTATATGCTTATAAAAAATCACGTTGATCGGATATCGATAACTATCTGATCAGATTTTTTTTCAATCTTTAATTATAACACCATCCCTTTTTTTATACAAAACTGATTTGATCATGTAGTTATCGATATTCGATCAACGTGATTTTTTATGAGCATATAGTACTCGACGAGTTTTACACATTAAACGGTTCAGATTATCAAAACGAGACCCGTGATGGACCCCTACAAACTGAACAGCAGTGTGTGAAAATTACACCGAAACTTTGCAATTTTTCTTAAAGAACGCTACACAGCGCTGAACAATCTGCATAGCTGAGTTGTACTTTATTTATGGAAAATTAATTTTTTAATATATTTTTTTTTATGAATAATAATCATTGTGTTTGGTTTGAATTTTCTGGATTAAATTTTTTGAAAATTGACTTTTTTGATTTTTGTGTTTTTTTGTTTTTAGTGAATATTTTTTAAATTTTAAACATTTTTTTTACTTTTTTAGATGCACCTTACTTAGATGTATCTAAAAAGTAAAAAATTTGTGAAAAAATATTTTTAAAAATTAATAAATACATAAAAATGTACTGAATTCTTGTATTTTTTTTTGTATTTTTGGTATTTAGTGAATTTTTAAAAGATTTTTTTTTATAATTTTTTTACTTTTTAGGTGTATTTATGTTAGGTGTGTCTAAAAAGTAAAAAAATTGCTTAAAATATTTAAAAAATTTAGTAAAAAAAAATATGAAAAATAAGAAAGTTGAATTTTTTTAAATATTTTTAGAAAATTGAAAACTAAGCAAGGTAAATAATTTTTTTACTTTTTATCTTTTTGAGGAGATGCTAAACTTAACCTTAGATTGGGTTAGTATTGGTGTACTTTTTAAACAAAGGTATCATTATTTTGAACTAATGACGGTTAAGCAGTCGAGATTGAAGACATTGATCATAATGGGCCAAGTTGTCAAAGGTGTACTTAAATAGCTGGGGTAAGTAAGGCCAGCACAACAATGGATAGATACGGGCCTATCAGCCCAAAAGCCCACAAGCCTTGCCAAGGTGGTGATTAGGAGTATAACTTGGGCCCGTTCGGTAAGGTTCAGTTAAATTATAGTCATAGTAATAAAATTTAAAAAATTCACAATTATTGAATGATACAGTAAAAAAAAGGTAAATTAAAAATATACTCATTGAAATTTACTTAAAATATGAATTGTCCGTATAATTTGAAAAAATTACAAATATCTTCCTGTCATAATTTTTTATTTAACAGAATTAATTTAAAAAGTGAAATTTCTAATTGTTCACATATACAATAATAAAATTATCTGAATTATTTATTGAAATAAAATTTTAACATCATTAAAAACTATTAATTTGACTTGATGATTTATTAATAAAAGGATCTTATGAAATTAAAAAACTTAGGAGACATAATGTAATTTCTAGAACTACAAAAGATAATTTATAATTTAAGTAAACCTCAGAAGGTATGCTTGTAATTTATCCTAAAAAAATCATTACAATTACATAATGAAGAAGATCTTAATTTTACATATGTTATATCGTTATTTTGATAAGAGTCTTACATTTTATTTTTTTTTACGATTATCTACTTTTAATAAGAGTAGAACCTACATCATCACAAAATCTACTTTTATTTGTTTGGGAAGTTTGGGACTTGATTTTTTTTTTTTTTTTTTTTTTTTTTTTTTTTTTTTTTTACAAAAAGACAAGCTTTTTGCAAAACCAAAAAAAACACATCCAAACAAAATATCACATTCAATTCCATAATCATTTCACTTTTTCTCTCACAAGCATCACATCCAACCACAAAAAAACTCAACTATCTTTCTAAACACAAAAAAAAATTTCTCTAATAATATCCTACAACTAAAAAAACCTACATAAAAACCTACTTCCCAAACACCAATATAAGTAAAAGATAAAAAAAATATTATAAAAAATATGTGATTGTAATCTTACGATTTGTTAATTCATGTTCAAGTTCATGTCAAGTGAAACTTCAAATTTTTGTTGAATTTTTTTCCATCTCTTATTTTCTATCAAAAAATACCTACACTAGATATATTTAAAAATGTATATCATATGCATCTTATTAAACATTTTTTTAGTGAGTAATTCTAGAGACACCAAATGTTTCACATAAATATGAAACTCACACATATATAGTATTTGATAAAATTTTTAAAATTTCTAACATTTTTCTTTTATAGTACATTTACGTATTTTTGTGACAAATATTTTATAAATTTTTAGTAACATTACAATAATTTATAACTCAAGAAGTAAGCATTACTTTCACTCCACTGCAAAGGAACATTTGTTCTGCTTTATTAATTGAGAAAATCAATATACGAATTTATAGATAAAAGTGTAAAATAATATAAGGCCAAACTTAAAATCAATGAGTATTTATGACAGATTACCAGGGAGAAAATCACCCATCTGCTTATTTTAATCCCATATATACTATCTGCTTCATACAAGACGATGAATTCTCTGTATTCAATACCTCATTTTCCTGGGAAACAAACAAAACTTAACCTCTACTTGTGTTTTTTCCACTGTACCAGTTTCAAACAGACGTAAACTTCCAATTAATTATTTTTTATTCATCCAAAAACTTCATATCAAACAGAAAATATTCTCTAGAAACAGCTTACATCAGACTCTGCCATAATAAACTACTAGATTTTCGTGATCAATTTAGAAGAAGACAAAAAAGCTTGATTAATAAATGGCAAAATGGGCCATGACGACATATAGAAGAGGACATAATAATAATAAGATAAAAGAAAAGGAATCTACCTAGGTGAGGTGATTGGCCATAATGATTTGTGCTTAATTATTAGTATATATATTAGACAAAGATAATGCAAGCTTCAATTATACATCATCACCAACTTTGAACGCTAAAAACTTTAGACAAAACCCAAAAGCAATCACCCAAATTACTATAAACAAAATCAAACTCTACAATATATATGTTGAGAGCCTTTCAGTCCTAAAACAGAGCATTAGACAGCGAAAAAACAAGATGAAAATGGAGATTAAACGCCTAAACCCGATCCAATTTATCCAACACTTAGATATCTAGTCTAAACTCGGTACTCTATTTATTTTATTTAATAAAAAGGAGCTCACCCTTGTAGAGTGAATCTCGAATAGATGCAATCACTCACCAATCACCTATATCAGTGAATCGGGTAAGTCCAGATGCATCAACATAAAAGTTTGCTCAGAGAGTTCCGTCTAAACTCAATACTTGTTGAATTATTGATTACCCATATGTTGAAATTTGTTGATGTTGATGTGAACGTAATGAAGCTGGTGAATTTACTTTTATAGCACTATGAAGCAAGAATGAAATGGAGAGAATTATTAGAAGCAAGCCCCATAAAGATCATCATCAGGCTCCAATTTTGTCATTTCTTCCTCCAACATCATCTCCTTGTACCGGCATTCGCTGCTGCAGAAAGCCTTCTCGCCTCTGCAAGTACAGAAGATCGGTTACGTGAAAATTGTGGGAAAGAATAACAGAAGGGTATGATCAAACTAAACTAGTGAATGAATTCATAAAAACCAAAAAATAGGTTCATCTATATACACAGAAAGTTATGGCTATGCAACGTCCAAAACCAAGCTGATTTGAACTCATCACATCCAATATAAAGATTAGCCTTGTTAGAAAAAGAAGCTTTACGCATGGTTATGCCGGATCCTTTTCCCTAGCTTCCAAACAGTAATATCAGGAGACGAATCGATATTACTAGCAGTATCAAGAGTATTGAGCGACATGTATTGGTCAGGTGGAGCGATCATAAATTTTTTAAAACCATCAACCACAAAAGAGGAATTTTATAGCAATTAAACTGGCTGTATCGACTGTGAATCTGATCGTGAATAACTAACACATATCGTGAATGGACCAACACAATTTTTATTCTCATTCGTACTGGTGTATTGAAGTGTAACGGTATCACAAGCCAAAAACACAAATACATATCATATTTAAAACTATGCCCTCAAACGTGCGATGTGATGCGAATTTCAAAACATAAAGATCTCAAAGCATGATCAAGCGGCTCGGAGTGTATCGGGGACGGGGAGAGTGATTTTGGGAGTGGGGGATTCATGCCATTATCTGCCTAACTAATTAAAGGTTGTTTCAACTTCAATGAATTAATAACAGTTTAGAAAGCATCAAACTTGAGTGAGGATTACCCAACTCCAATTTTCTTAATTCTATCTAATTCAATCAAGTTCACAACTTTTACAATGAGAATTTCAAAATAAGCAAAGCACTTTCAAAAGCAAGCAAACTAGGACTAAATTGAGCTAACCTGTACATGTAAATGTCCTTTCCTTGCCCAAGATTCTTCTTGCAAGTGTAACAGAAGCTGAGAAAATCCTCAGATGGATAGCTCATCGCTTGACTACCACAAAACCCATTTTCCTTTCTAGCAGCAGAGAAACCCACGACACCACAGCAACTCTCAACAATGCAATTATCAAAGATATGCGTCGTCCTCGGATTCGGACCATAAGAAATCACACAAGTATAATCCTCCGAAAGCTCCATTTCACTAGCAGAGAGACACCCGGCGAAAACCCGAGGCGAGTTCGGGTTTTCTAGGCAAGAATTCTCCGACCCAAATGGCGATTTCTTTGCCGGCGATAGCCCGGGGGAAAGGGAAAAGGAACCCAATTGAGAATTCCGAGTCTTGATTCCGAAATCGGCTGGCGATTTCGGAGACTCGGAAGGGGAGATAAGAACAGAGGGAGGCAGAGGAGGGATTTGAATCTTCAATTGTGATCCAAACAGAACCATTCGGCTATCGGGTTTGGATTGTTTTGAGTCAGACATTTCATCACTAAGAGCATCGACAATGCCGAGACCAACCCCTCTTGAATCTAGTTTAATAAAGTGGGTTCGATTTTCGAGTTTTGGGGATTTTGTGAGGTGTGTCTCGGACCAAATTGGGGTTCTTAGAGCAGAGAAGGGTTTGGTATCGAGGATTGAAGTTGGGCTGCGCAGAGATTCATTTGAAGCAAAACCAGTGAACAGTCTTGGAGAACTGAAAATTGATGAAGTAGGTCTTCTGTATTTGTCTGTTGGTGATGGTAAAGAGCCACCACAATCCGCCATTAGAGCTCGCTTTAATGGTTTCTCTGTTAAAAAACAAACACGCAGTTCATGCCATAAAAAATCCAAAACCCATATATATATAGAGAGAGAGACAGAGAGAGATAGAGAGAGAGAGAGCACCTGAGATGATATGGGATGGTAGCTAAAAACACCTTTCTTGAAAAACCCAGAAACCAGAAAACCCAGAGCAGAATCAATGAGCTCTATCTCTCATTATATACTTCTGTGACCTCCATGATCAAAACACGATTCAGAGAAAACAAAGGAATCACTTTTTCCACGATTTTCTCGCACTTTCTCTCTCTATTTTCAGAGAAAGAATCCCTCGGTTTTCATAACGAAGCCTCACCGACTCGTGATCAATACCACACATAAACACATAAGAACCCAAAAACAAAAAAACAAAAAAAAACAAAAATTTACAAAAAGCTAGTTGTATTTTTATCACTGCCTTTTTTTGAGTATGCTTTAAGATGCTTTTGTTGGTGTCCTTGAGTAGAGAGAGAGAGATAGCATTATATCAACCAAAATTGGTTTCTTTTATCATAATATTCATTGCCATTAGATGAAGACAAGACCCATTAACAAAATGTACCTGAAAACAGAGCAACCCAACATGTAAACAAAAAGACCCACTGTTTCTCACTCACTCCCTCTCTCCTCTTCCTAAAAGATCGTCATGGATGATTGTTATTGCATATGTATAGAGAGAGGGAGAGAGAGAGAGAGTGGGTGTGAGAGTTTGGGGCTGTGGTGGGGGGTGATTTTAAAGACGTGAGTGCATGGGAATCAGTGAGTTTGATAAAAAAACCACCACCGTCTTTCACCTGCCCTGAAATAGGAAGTTTGGTTATGGCGGTTTTCGGCAAAAAAAAACTAGAGGCTATTCTCTCTTTCTCTCTCTACTGGTAACAATGGGGTCTAAAATCTCTGAAACTTTGCTTGCTCTGTCTCTCTCTCTCTCTAAATCAGGGAAATTATTCAATACTCTCGGAGCACCACGTGTCCATACTCCAAACCAATCACCAATTAGTTAGCCCCATGTTGTCCCCCATCTCCAACATAAATCGTGGACCCTTATGTCTCTCCACCAATCAAAATATTATGGAGCACCACGTGTCCATATTCCGGAAGTACTGAATAATGTCTCCTAAATCAGTGTCACACCCGTCAGTGGAAAGGAGCGAATATAAAGAACAAACTGGTTCGTAAGCTGACGACACCATATTTATTTCGTTTTTCACGAACTTCCTTCCAAACTTCCTAGCTCAACCTCAGCTGGCTCAGCTCGGCGCATTTATATTTTTTAACGAAAATAATTTGTAAGTTTACTTTTCAAAATCAATTGAGTGATGTGCAAAAAAAAATATCTACGGAGGATTAAAGAAGATATGAAAAAAAAGAATGGTCTTATTATATCATTTGATTTGAAAAATAAATCCAATTTTTAAGTTAAAATAACACTACTCATTTCTTAAAAGGGAATTACAGTCTATTGAATTTTTCACAAAAAAAATTCATATACATGTTTATAATAATAATAATTATTAAATTTATAAAAAAAATTTATCATTAATATATAATTAATTTTAAATAATCACACTAAATTATATTTTTTCCTTTCTTAAATGAAGTTGGGTTCAGTAATATTATATTTTTAAGAATTTCTTAAATGATAATGTGACTTTAAATAAATTAAAAGTTAACTTTTGATTTTTAACTATCTTTTCAAAAGAGACCTAAGACTTAAAAGTCAAAAGTTTTACTAGACAAAAAATTTTAAATATATATAATTTTTTTAGTTTTAAAATTCTATACTTTAAACGAACTTATGAAGTTAAAAAATAATAATAATAAATAAATAAAATAAAAAAAAATTCAAAGTTGAAAAATATATATGTCTATACTATATATGCTATCTATCTATACTATATATATAAGCTTTATATATAAGTAAATGTAGCGATCTCTTAAAAAATTTCAAATTCTCAATCCTAACATCTTATGAAACTCTTTCTTATATGACGCACCAATTCTTCTCTCATTCTATTTTCTTATTTTCCTATTTTTCTTATCTTTTTTATATTTTTTATTTCACTTTTTAATTACTTATGGCATAGATATAAGAGATTTTCAAAATACATAAAGATAAAAGATTTTCAAAATATTTAGAGATAAAAGATGAGTTTGCCTCTAATTCAAATTTCTTCATCAAAAAGATTGACTCTAATTCAAATTTTTTCATCAATTTATGTCTTACCCGAGGATATTTCAAAATAAATAAATAAATAAATTTATAAATCTCAAAACCTAACTTCCATGACAATATGAAATAAGACAAAAAGATTGGAGAACAGAAATAATGCTGTAGAGAAATTAAACGGGCGATTTAACCAATTATGCAAAATTTTTGGCATCTTTTGTGAAAAGAAGCACATGCTTTAAATCTCATATAGTGTTTTTTTGCTCGCTTTTACTTTTGCAATTTATCTAAAGTTTCTCTTTCTATATTCTTATAAGTTATCTTCAAATTGACACTTATTTTTTTTTTTAATATTTATCTTATATTTACAGGATCTATTCTTGCTCTTGATTTTTAACTAAGTTTATTATTTTTTTATCTGATTTTCACTTTCTATATTCTTATAGTTTTTTATTCTTTCTTATTTTAGTTAAGTAGCTTTAGAATACAATTTTTTTGTTTAAAATTATAGGTAGTAGACACAAAATAGAATTAAAATTTGTATAATAAGATAACATAATTGCTTATTTTTTAACTACGCAAAATTTAAATTTTAAAAAATTATAAGTGGCATTCACTCTTATCCAATTTTTTAACTATTACCCTCTCCGATTATTCTGTTATTAAAGTTATATTAGATTTTATATTTCTTTTCAAGTTTATCATATCTTATTTTTGAATTATAAAATTTCAACTTTTTTTTTTCAATTACTGAATTGCTCTCTACCTCATTTTCTAGGATTTATCTAATTTATATATATATATATATATATATTTATAGTTTATCTTCGAATTTAAACTTAATCTGTTTTTATCTTTATCTTATATTTACAGAATCTACTCTTACTCTTGATTTTGAGTTGAACTTTTTTTTTCAAAAATTTATTTAATTAAATATAGTAAGATCACTCAAATATATTATTTCAATGCCCATCTAAATTAATATCATAGTATTTAATTGTTAATTTTTAGCATGTTCAACATTATTTACCATTTTTTGTTACCTGTCCGTGCATAGCATGGGTTACCGCTATCTATATTATATATATAATCAAATGTAGTTGTTTTGTCAAAAGTCTCCAAATATTTATTCCTAAATTCTCATAATTTTAAAACACCCTATTTCCTACGTGGCAACCTTCTTTGATTGCCTTTCATGTTTTCTATTTTTCTTCATTTTTTATTTGTTTGATTAATTAAAATTAAAATTAATTTCGTTACTTATGGATAAAGATTTCAATTTCAAAATTCCTCCATATAGCTAAACATATAAAAACTAAAAATTAATTTTATAATCTACAGATAAAGATAAAAAAATAAACAATTAATTTAAAAAAATTAATTTCATAACTTATAGATAATTTAAAATTTCTTCCCATAAATAAACAAATAAAAGTTGATAAATAACTTATAAAAATTAATTTCATGGCCTACAAATAAAGATAAAGATTAAATAATTGATTTTTTTGAAAAAAAAAAAACAAAATTACTCTCTTTTTTTTTGTCCCCCTCATTTCGTACTTTAATTAATTTCATTATAGATAAACATATAAAATTCATAAATAATTTATGAAAATTTATTTCATGACCTATAGATAAAGATAAAAATTTTAAAAATTATTTAAAAAAATTAATTTCATGATTTATAGATAAATAAACATATAAAAATTGATAAATAATTTATAAAGATTAATTCCGTGGCTTACAGATAATGATAAAGATTAAATAATTGATTTTCAAAAAATTAAAATAATAAAATTTTGATAAAGATATGATTTGTTAATCTATATATTTATTAAAAACATATATATCTAAATCTTTATTTTGATTTACTCATTTTTTTTCTCCTATCACATATTATCTTTTTTTATTTAAAATTTTTTATCTTATGAAATGCTCTTATCTATAATTTCTTATCTTCTATTAAATTCGTAAGTTTCTCTTGATAATTTTTATTATTCGTTATTATCTATCAAATGATAAAGATTATATAAAAAAAAAAAATTATCGCTCTAAATGAGAATAGTATTAATAATAAAATAATAAAAGCTACATGAGAGAAGGTAGCACAAAAATCTCACAAAATTAATTTTCTTCACTATATTTATAAAAGGTAATAATTTGAGATTCTTTCTATTAGTTATTAAAAATAATTTGCATTAGATCATTGTTATGTTTTTTTTTAAAATTTTTTTTATAAGGCTGTCATTCGTTATAGTATTTCTTAAATCTCATTTCTAAATTCTCTCTTTGAAATTTTTTTTTTCAATAATTAAGTTTAGAATCAATTTCTTATCAAATTTGTTTTCTTGATCCTTATCTTATTGAAGGATCGAGACGAATAAAACTTTCATATAATATATGAAATTAATGAATATAATACAAAGATGATAGAGAAATACTACCTATTTGTCAATATCTCTATGTTATTATTAGTTGATTTGCCAGATTATACTATCAATTTAGAGTCCATATGATTTAATTCAATGTTCATGACTCTATTTGTATTTGACCATTTTTTCGTTGAGTAGCCGATATAATTTTTTTTTTTTTTTTTGTATATAATGATTAAAGCTATCATTTGTTATATTTTTTCAAGTACAATTCAAATAATTTTTTATCATTTCTTTATAAATAAAATGGATTAAAACTATTCTCTTATATAATTTTTATAATACTGTGACATTCTTATCTTGATTAATTTTTTTAAACTGACATAGGAACTATGCAAGTATTATTCAAACTATGGAAAATGATTTATACTTTGATATGATATGAGTGTGTCATTGATAGAGGAAATCAAAGATAGAGAGTTGATAATATAATCAATCAATGATTTGTTTGAGAAATTCTTTTTATAAGCAAGGCAACAAACTTAGATTAATTTTTTTAAAAAACTACTTATAAATTATAATTAAAAGTTGATATTTATTCATAATTTGATCCCACAATAATAATATACACCACTGATTTAAAAGTCCAAGTAAATTTATGATAACTTTTCTGAACTTATAGAATTTCTCTCTTTTAATGTTTTGTTTAGTTTGATACAAGTTATTTATGTTATCAAGTGATTGTGACACTATTATTGTTAACAATTTTTATAATTAATAATTTCTTATGCATATCAAATTTTATTGTAAAATTTTGTGGGTTAATTATTGTTAACATCTACCTAGATGGCTTAATATTATGGTTTGTCGCTATTAAGATATAATTTAAGATTAAGATGATTTATTTATCACACAAAATATATATAGTCTATTTTTTCGTGCATCGCACGGATTACCGCTAGTTATATATATAATCAAATGTGCTTGTATTGGCAAAGGTCTCCAAATATTCATTTCTAAATTCTCATAAATTTAAAATTCTTTCTTTTCTACGTGACAACCATCTTTGATTGTCTTTTATGTTTTCTATTTTCCTCCATTTTCTATTTGTTTGATTAATTAAACTAAAAATTAATTTCATGATTTATGGATAAAGATTTGAATTTCAAAATTCCTCCATATAGATAAACATATAAAAACTGATAAATAATTTATGAAAATTAATTTCATGGTCTACAGATAAAGATAAAAATTAAATAATTAATTTCAAAAAATTAATTTCAAAACTTATAAATAATTTAAAATTTCTTCCCATAAATGAACTTATAAAAATTGATAAATAACTTATAAAAAATAATTTCATGACCTACAGATAAAGATAAAGGT